TTCAACAAATTTTCCAAATACTCTCGTATGTTACCTCCTTTTTCTGATGACATATATAAATAATTTTAATTATCAAACTAATGAGGTGCAATTTTACTAACAATAAACTAAATTCGTATAAGCAAGAATAAATTTGTGTCATACCTAGAGCATTGTCGCCCCAATGGGAAGCAGCGTCAAATGAATGTGGACATATGTAATTGTATTTCTATATAAACACATAAATTGTTAATTAATCAATGTATGAACACCTGTTTAACTGGAAAAACATATTGCATAAATGTAACTTACCGGATTATAAATCATTTTTTCCGGTGAATCATCGACCAACAGTGTATTTAGGTCGTTAAAATAAGGAAACACGTTCCAAACATCATTAAGATCTTTACAGTAGGTAACATTATCGTATGTTTTGCAATTTTATTGATCCTGTTCACAAACAGTCGAACATAAATATGTAGGAATCATAGACAAATAAAAGTCAGCAAACTGTAATGACATTCATCTTACCCAAGTGAATAGAAAATGGCCAGACAATAAAGGTAGTTTCTCAAGTACATAGTCGATGTTATGCCTGAGATTGTAATCAAGTTTGAATGTTAACATTTAATTGTATATTAACGATTTTGGCTTTAGTAATTCAATTGCTCAACAGTTCTAACCTCATCTTGGAAGAGCAAATAGCAACAACAAAATTGTCTACACAAAAATGCATAAATTTATATAATATTGTTATGAGGACAACATCTACAACATGAAGAAAATGAGATTAAAATTCTACGCTTATATGTTAAAATAATGGATACAAAAGAACAGAATTAAAACCTTTTGGTTGTCTTGGGAAGTAGGCAAGGACACCATTGACATAAAAAATTACAAGTTTTCTTGCAGACGGCGTTGCAGACATGATATACTTGTTTGGATCATCATAATCATCATCTTCATCACCATATTCATCTTCATTGACCTCTTGGTTGTCCACATCTATTAAAAGAAAATAAAATACATTCCAGAACGTGTAAATGTTTAGAAACATAAATAATTAATTACCTAACTCGTTTGATGTCGTTGACGTAATTCATCACGCAACATTGAGACTTCATCGCGCAATGATGAAATATTGGCTTGTATTCCACTCACAAGGGAATCAATATGCTCCCGAAAATTGACCATGTATTCCATCACCATCTTAATTGTGACATCTTCTCCAACTAGAGCTTCTGGAGCTTCTTCCATCATTGTGTCTCCAATTGGTTGGTCGTCTTTATGGCCAATAGGGTCCATTTCCTCCCTCTCTTGATCTAATCCGACATCCTTAACACGCTTCCAACTGACTTTTTCAACAAAATCATATCCCGTTTTTTAAATAAATAACATGTCAATCTTGCGGGTTAATCGAACAGGGGCGTCATGCGAAAAATCAACTTCTTTCTTATTCAACAGATGTGTGATGACACATCCATATAGTAGTGAAGTTGAAATTGTTGCTCCCTTTGTGACCATATATACAATTGTATTAAATATCAGTTTAGCAATGTTTGGAGCCGTTTTGGATTTATACTTTGCTATCCACCAAAAATCGCTGTCTCGAAGTGTTGAATGTTTTCCCCCAGTAGGCCGGATATACCAAGTTAGCATTTTATGAAACACTCTCGACTCTACATCTAGGTGAATTGGGCTATTTCTAGCAACCTATTGTATTGTAGTATCTAAATCATTTTCATCTGAATCCCCTTTATTCTCGACACCTAGACCCTCCGCAATAGTATCCGGAGATATATATATATCCTTCCCCATGACATGGGTATTAATTCCTATTATATTAGTCTTATTAGGCTCGTGCTATAAGGAAGCATTGTTATAGAATACTTTAACTAGGTTGGGGTAATATTTTGGTTCTACACTAAGGAATTCAAGCCAACGCCAAGATGTAAATGTGGATTTAAAACTAAATGCATATTTATCATCGAACAAGAAACCCAGGTCAATGACACGTTCGGGATGAATTTTCCTTACTTTAAAACTCATCTGCCATCTTTATTTCTCCGTATTGGATCTAAAGTTCAGAGTTTCGAACGACCTAATTTCCTCAGAAAAAGCGATTGTTTGAGAATGAGGTTGTGGTTGAGAAGAGCTTTGAGAAAGACCACGCTTCTGACGCTGACATTTGGAGCCATTTTGGGTGTGGATGCTGTTACATTGGAACACAAACACATTCAGGAAAAAAAACTTCAATCTATAAATCAATCAAACCCATAAAATATCGATAAATTTACCTGAATATCTTATCGTCACTGTTATGAGAACGTTGGTATTCGTCAGAGATTAAGAGTTTTCTTTTGCCTTTAGGTTTGGGGTTTTTCGATTTGGAGTTTGTATTGATTATAATCTATAAATAATGAAGGGGGAAAACACGCGAATTTTAAAATGGTATCAACACAAATTTAACAATTGTCGATACTTTATGTTGACTTATTTTCTCATAAAACCGGTATATTTATGCCTATTATATTGGAAATTTACCTATTACATTTTAATTATCGGTTTCGATATTTTTGGGATCGACACTTTTTAAAAATGTATCGATACTTAATGGGTGCACCATTTTGGCATTCCTTCTGGACAAAAAGTATCGACACAAATTCCAAAAGTGTCAATACATTTTCTAGACCTATTCTCGCATAAAACCGGTATATTTTTACCGGTTATATTGAAAAATTACCTATTACATTATAATCATCAGTTTCGAAGTTTCTGGAATCGATACTTTTTTATAAATGTATCGACACTTTATGCTTGCACCATTTTTTTTGCATTCATTCTGGACAAAATGTATCGACACAAAATTAAAAAGTGTCGATACATTATGTAGACCTATTCTCACATAAAATCGATATATTTATACCGGTTACATTACAAAATTACCTATTACATTATAATTATGGGTTTCAATGTCTCTGGGATCGTCACTTTTTAAAAATGTATCGACACTTTAGGTGTTCACCATTTTGGGAATTCATTATGGACAAAAAGTATCGACACCAATTTCAAATGTGTCGATACATTATGTAGACCTATTCTCACATAAAATCGGTATATTTATACTGGTTACATTACAAAATTACCTATTACATTATAGTAATGGGTTTCGATATCTTTGGGATCGACACTTTTAAAAAATGTATCGACACTTTATGGGTGCACCCTTTTGGGCATTCCTTCTGGACAAACAGTATCGACACAAATTCCAGAAGTGTCGATACATTATGTAGACCTATTCTCTCATAAAACCGGTATAGTTATACCAGTTACATTGTAAATTTACCTATTACATTATAATTATGGGTTTCAATGTTTTTGGGATCGATACTTTTTATAAATGTATCGACACTTTATGCGTTCACCATTTTTGGCATTCATTCTGGACAAAAAGTATCGACACCAATTTCAAAAGTGTCAATACATTATGTAGATTTTGTAAATAAAAAGAATAACAAAGATATTAATCCTAATGATTCATACATACCAATCTATTAGCATTATTCACTCTCTGTTTAGCTGCTTCAATGTAAACAAACTATCATATATATTATTGCAACACGATCTACCATATCCAACACCAACATATGCCAATGTGAATTATGGTAGTTTATTGTGATCATGATCTGCAACAAATTTCACACCCAATTTGACAAAATTCAACATTCTATATCCGAAAACATCATTTACAATTCATATGGTGTCTTACCTTCTCACAGTCGGTGAATTTCACATAGGTACCCAATATGGGACCCCAAAAGAAAGCAATATCCTCAACTCTTACTTTGTTGTTGGCATCCAACGCTTGTTACTGCAATTACGCGACAATCATTATTAATTTACCGTCTATAACACTATTTTTCAACATTTATTAATTTAACTCACCGCTAAGTGGTATGGAAGGTAGCCAATCCCCCGGAGTGACTTTTTCGAATCGTAGCACACTGTCCAGTCGAGCAAATCAATAACCTAACAAAAATTAATTACACAATCAAAACATATTCAATAGGTTTTAACTTTTGTACTTTCTACTTACCACACCGCCAACCCATTTCGTAGGCTTCAACGTTGCAACGTCGGATACACTAGCGAATTGATTTCCCATTGAGATTACAGAATATATGTATGAATCATTAGGATTAATATCTTTGTCATGAAATATTTAAATATCACTCACAAAGCAATATATTTCACTTACCTCGATTCTAACCCACTATTCCATAAATAATCACAAATTGAAGCTTCGAGGTCATCAATTCCGCTTGGAATATCCGCTTTTTCAACCTAAAATTTTGCATACAAATTTTTGTCACAACAACATGATAAAGATCAAATTAAGGTTTCTTTTATTCAACTTACCTTCTTCTTCTTCTTCTGGGGTGCAGGATATTCCGAATCCAAATCTGCATCTATAACACTCTCCGGTGTATATATCACATCGACATCCTTCCACCTCATTTCCTCCATCTTTTCTTCTTCATCCCTCTTTTCTTCTTCCTCTATCTTTTATTCTTCATATTATTCAGTTCATCGTATTTTTGCTCTACATAGCTCTTCATCTCTTTTATTTCACCCTTCAATTTTTTCCCTTCATCCAAGTATTCATCAACCACCCCCCTTCACCCCCGTAAGTTCACTCCTCAATTCCACAAGCTATTTCACCACTCCATCAATTTTTTACCCGTCACAATCTTAAGTTCACCCCTCAACACCTCAACTTCTTTCACCACTCCATCTATTTTTCCTTCCACTTCCCCCTTATGCCTCTCAAGTGTCTCTTCGACTCTCTCAAGTTTCTCTTCGACTCTTGATTGTCTTTGCATGATATCAAATCAGATTTTTTTGATATCAGCCAATTCAGACATCAAAATATCAAATTTACTCTGTTTTCCCACACCGTCATCCCCCTCACCATCATCCCCCAATACAAATATCTCTTCTTTCTTCTCCTCTGCCTCCTCTACCTCCTTGCCAATAACCTTCAAAATTAAATTGTAATATTAAGACATTGATTATATTCTTAATATTGTTTAATTACATTTATTACTCTTTCTTGCTTCATCGGTCTATCCAACTTTAACTTCGCCATCACTCTAACCACCTCTTCTTTCCTCCATGCACGGATGCGTTCCACTCCAGTTCTTTCATAAGTCGGCACTGCCTCACAGCCCGACCAAAAATCGAACAGTGCAACCTGCATTTATAATAAAATTTATAATTTTATATAATAATTATACTATCATTTTATATATAAAAATGTTCTTCAACTCATTTACCTCTAAGATTGCTATGCACCCTTTGAGGTATCTTTGGCTTCCCTTTTTAAAGGTGATTATTGATTCAATCAATCTCGAATGGATATATTCAGCCAAATTGAATTCACCTTTCAAGTCTTCATCGCAAATGAGCTTCATATAGTCCTTGTTCGTTGACGTATCACCCATTGGACAAATAAAGATCCCGATAAGGTACAATAGAACTCGGGTCTTTAGCTCACCCCCCCTAAGATCCACTTTTGATTTCCTCTTCTAGTTCAGCATATGTCATCTTCTGCTTCAAACCATATTTGGAGGCAAGTGCTTTCCAGTTCTTACTCTTAGAGACTTCTACAATACTTTTGCCTTTATTTCCTACCCCCAAGACGGTTGCAGCACATGGGATCCCCAGAGAAAATGAAAAATCATTATATTTAGCAATACATTGTTCGACATCAAATTGCTACATCAAGGATCGACACAATTCCCTCCGAATAGGTCGATCCCTTACTCATACCAATGATTCAAACCCCATTACTCCCAGCACATTCAACCGACCCTTCTCCTTAAGGTGTTTAATTAATGAATTCACCCTTTTAATGTTGCACCTTGTCGACACTTCCTACATTTTTTAATAATATATAATGTTATAGTTCTTATATATTTTGTATCAACGTATTTACAAGTTTAATGAATACCTTCTTTTCATGTGCTTTCCTCCATTCTTTGTATTCTTCACTATCCATCTTTGACTGTGCGATGTAAGGTTCCTTATCAGTATCACTCATCGAATTCCATTTCTCCAACACATTATTTCTCACCTAATATTAAGCATAAACGTTTCTTAATCAATATATTAACGCTAAATAATACTCAATATCAATTTCAATTTACATACCAAACCGATGTGTTCGCCACCTTCCTTCATCTTTTGGCATTCGGTCATACTGTCAACATTTAAAATTTGTAATCAATTTAAAGTTCTTAAATACTTTAATCCAATTACCTTTTCAACAATAATAACAAAAAGACATTGATATTTACTAGAAGTACATATATCCACCATTTGGTTGCTTTCGAATCTCGGCCTCAATTTCAACGTGATCTTCACCACCAACAATTCCAATATCCTTTGACTTTATTTTTCCTTCATATATCAGTTTACGCAAATCAAATCAAATACTGGTTACATACACTTTATTCAATATACAAAAATCGATAATTGTTCTTGTAGTAAAACGGTTTCCTTCAAAAGAATTTGAATGGCCACTACAACAAGTGTCGACACATTTATACAACCTACAATATCATTTTCTACCTATAATATTATAAACAGGTATTCATATTTATTTTCTTCCTATAATATTATATAATCGGTCCCAGATCATTCTTGGCTTCGATTTGAAATCCCCAAACTAAACCCAAAAACCCTAATCCCTATTTCCTTCAAACGAATGGGAACACTCAATACTCCAAGTATCGGCACATTTATACAACCTATAATATCATTTTCTACCTATAATATTTAATAAAAGTATCGATATTTATATTTTACCTAGAATATCACTTTCTACCTGTAATCGGTCCCAAATGCTTCTTTACTCCAAAACCCTAAACAACACATAAAAACTCTATTTTCGATTACTGTAATAATAAAAAACTAGGTTTTCGACAACATACTTTTCGATTCGACTGCAGCAACAAACAAACAAACTTCGCTTTAGAAACGCCTTCTGAAATACAGTAACAATTACGCTTCGACTTCAAAAACTCGTCCATTCTATCTATTTTTAAGAAGATATTTAACTATGCCCTTCATATTTTCACCAAATATATTATTTATATTTAATCGATACAACTACCAAAGTGTCGATACTTTTATGTCAGGTGTCGATACTTTCGATAGTATAATTACCTATTTCTTTGAAAGTATCAATAATTTATTACGCGTACTTATTAAAGTATCGACACTTTCAATATATTCGGTGCCTCTTTACCGGTTTTGTCATTTCGAGACCGGTTTTGTCATATTTTTACCTGTTATATCGTTATGGATCAATACATTTTTATAAAGTATCGACACTTTATAGGCGCTAAAACTGATTCTCTTTTAAATTCACAAAGTGTCGATACTTATATTAAAGTATCGACACTTTCAATATATTCGGTCGCTCTATACCGGTTTTGTCCTTTAGAGACCGATTTTGTCATATTTTTACATGTTATATCGTTGTGGATCAATATATTGTTATGAAGTATCGACACTTTATAGGCGCTAAAACTGATTCTCTTTTAAATTCACAAAGTGTTGATACTTATATTAAAGTATCGACACTTTCAATATATTCAGTCGCTCTATACCGGTTTTGTCCTTTAGAGACTGATTTTGTTATATTTTTACATGTTATATCATTGTGGATCGATACATTGTTATAAAGTATCGACACTTTATAGGCGCTAAAAATATTTCTCTTTTAAATTCACAAAGTGCGATACTTATATTAAAGTATCGACACTTTCAATATATCTGGTAGCACTTTATAGGTTTTGTCTTTTCAAGACCGGTTTTGTCATATTTTTACTTGTTATATTGATGTGGATCGATACATTTTTATAAAGTATCGACATAAACAGACAAGTTAAGTTTGTAGTTGCCAAATTTTTTAATATTTCTTCATGATTTAGACCTACTACATTATTATTACTCAACATTTCCGGTAGCGCTAAACCGAATTTATTAAATATCTTTTAATGTATCTGATAACGCCGTCTATTAGCCGTATATTAGCCCGCCTTTCCTGAGACAAACCTGTTAAACGAGAATGCATCCCCTTCGATTTAAATATAAATTAAAAATTACGTGGTATTTTGGAATAAATTAACGTGAATAATCGAAATCTGAATCAATTTAAATCGAGAAGAGAATGGGATAAAAAGATAAGAGAAAATAGATGCTCAAACTAAAGAGAGAAAATGGAAGAAAACAAAGTGAAAAGAAATGAAGAAATAAATAATGAATGGGAATGTGAAAAAATTATAATGAATCAAAACAACAATGTTTAGATCTAGGTTTAATTTTATTAAAGATTCAAAATAATGTCGTTTTAATGTAAGTTGACATGTCATAACGTCATTAATTATTTAATGATAAGAGTGGTAAAAATCAATTTTCAAAGATCAATAAGTAAGTTTAAATTTTTTAAAATTTAATGAGTAAAATAAGAAAGATAAGTTGATTAGTGATTTATGTAATTCACTTAAAATTAAATCAATTTAATGATCAATAAGTAAGTTTAAATTTTTTTAAAATTTAATGAGTAAAATAAGAAAGATAAATTGATTAGTGATTTATGTAATTCACCTAAAATAAAATCGCATCAAATATAAACCACTAAAAAACGAAAACAATGAAGATAGAAAGGTTAAAAAGTGTAGCCGGTGACTTGTGACCATCCATTTCTAAGAGCACCACCCACAAAATCAAAGACAAGGACATCCCACTTGCTTTAGATTACAGACCCACCATCTCCTCTAATTAATCGCCTGCACAAATACCATACAATACAACCAAATTTCACCTAATAATCTCAAAATATCTTCTTAATCTACAATTAATAATGCAATCATACATCAAATCTTCTCCCACCCTTTATACAGTTTTAGATTATTTAATTGTATGTTATAATATTTTTTAGAAAATTACGTATTTAGTCAAACATCTATTCCTACGATATCATTTTAATCATTCAGTTATTTTTTTCAAGTCATTCTTAAAGTTGCATTTTAATAGTTTACTATTAAAAATAAATAAATCGGTTGAAAGAATGTAACTTTAATAATGATTTTAAAAATAATAATAATAAAAACGGAATCACGAAAATAGGTACATAATTTATTCTATATTATTTTAGTTTTTTCAAGCGACGCTGATGATGCCGCCATTGATATCACCACTCGACATGGCCTGAAAAGTAGACGAATGAACTCCTGCCGCTGCTTCCTCTTTATCGTCGGACGGCGTTGAAAGTTTCAGCGTTAGTAAAGGGTCATCTTGGGTTTTGTGGTTTAAATTAAGATCAGCCATTTTCAGCGTTTGACTCACTGGCAGCGGCGGCAACGAAACCTTTTCTTGGCCGATTATTTCATCTTCTTCCGATACGGTCTTATTCATAAACTACAATTTCCAGCACAAAAGAAAAACAGAATGTAATTAGAGATAGTAATAATTAGATCAAAGAAAGAGAAAATGTATATTTATTCGTACTGAATGAGTTGTTATATCAAAGAGACTGGATCTACGGCGTCTCCGATTCTGGTTATTTTGCCGGAGAAAGTGCTTCTGAGCATGGCTTGCCACCTGCGTCGGCGTACGTGTCTTCACGAAGTGTCGGGAAATCCCTCTCCAATCTCCTTTACCTACTTTCTTCAACCCCACTAAGAACAATCTATGCTCCTCCTCCGTCCATGGAACACCTATATATATAATTAAATTTAACAGCGAAAGACAAAACCAGTCAAAAAGATGTGTTGTAATAAAACTATACCTCTCTTGCGTTGGCGGCTTCTTCCAGATGCGTGAACTACGTCGTCGGAAGCATAGCCGTCGGCATCGACGGCATTGGAATAATCCGGAGGCTGCTGCTCCTCATTGTCAAACTGGGAAAGATTGTTCATGCTAACACTTTTTCTGAACGACCCTTCTGTCACTCGAACACCGAATAACATGATGCTTTTACTGCCGCCGGCGACCTTTCCGCATGTTCCCGAGTTGTGGCCGTCGTTTCCATTCTCAGAACAGCTACGAGACATCCTTCTTTTCTGTTCTTTCTATGATCCCTGAATCTGATTGGACCCTTTACTTCGGTTTCAAGTGAAATGGGAGCAGGAAAATAAATATAAGCGAAACGAGTGTTAACTGTTAAATCAAGAAAGGGAGAAGTAAACGGCCTATAATCCATTAATCCCTAAAAAGAAGACAAATGTGAAATATAGAGGGTCTAACTTTGTTTTCGATCCTCCTATTATGTTGAAGCTTAAGATT